GACAGCACTCAGGCCTGCTATGTTAATTCTTTTCTGTATAAGGCAGAACAGCCCCCAACAATAAGAATTACTGAGTGCAAATGTCAGCAGCGCTGGGGTTGAGAAACCCTGGGTGAGGCAGAGTGTGACATGTGAGGACTGATCTGTTAGGATTGCTCAGCTGCCTGTGGGCCTCTGTCTTAAGTGCACTTTTCTTGAGACCACTTGAACCAAACTCTCTCTCTATTACTTAATCTTACTCATATAAACTAGCTCTCTTACATCGGTTTAGGACGCTTACTTCCCTTCAGATTTAATCCAGCGAAGAAAACGGAAAATAAAAGCTTTAGTGAAAATAAAACAAAGGAGAAAAACCACTCCAAACAGTAAAAATAATTTTCAAATAACTAGTTTCAGAGATTTAGATATGTCAACATCTGATTAGTTTCAGAGACCTTACATTGGCGGTATTTTCCTAGTAATTTAGTGTCTCTAATTTTTATGTATAACTCAGCTGGAATATCTTTAGATCCTTTGAAAAGGTGTCAGTTTCCAAAGTTCTGTGGTTCAGTTACTCAATAGGAGTGTCCAGTTGGTCTTCAGGGAAGCACTGAAAGGTAAGGCTGCGTTGAGCATGAACCTCCCTCTGCTGGCCAATGGATGGATTTCTACAACTTGGCTTGGGTGTCCATTTCGGCGCCAGCTTGCAGCCTGGCCATCACTTGTGGTGTTAACTTTTACAAAGAACATCTCCTACCACCACCCCTCTCCACCCCTGAAAACGAAGACAAAAAAAAATAAAAAAGTAAAGACAGGTTCAGACTCATCACGCTTCCAGGGACTTGGGAGAAGGCAGGATGGGCCACCTCATGGCAGCATTTTGGATTTGTTGATCCCTGTGAGAGTTGCTGTTTAAGGGAATTCCCACATCTCTTGTGGGCTATACAGAATAGTGAGAGCTTTGCTTTTATTTTTGTTTTAAATCTCTGTCAGTGTTTGTTCAATGGGAAGCGGATGATTGTTGCTATTGATAGCTGCTTCTCACAGCTGTGTTGGCCTCAGCTGGAATTCTTGTCATTTTCCTTCTGAAAGGAACTAAATTGGGAGTTTACAACTGTTACTATTGAGGGAGACTGAAAGTTCTCAGCATGGTTTTGCTTAAACTTAGATATCAGCGCTGCTGGGAGGAGACATGAAAGCCATAGCTAGTAATTTTAGTCTTTAAAAGAAAAACAAATCCACCTTAAAATTTAGTTTGCGTAAAACTAAAATGGATACACTCCAACCATCTGCTGTGTCAGGAACAGCCAGCATGCAAGCAGGAGACACATTTTTAGACTTGTTCACATCTGCACATTTATACTGAAAATGGAGTAGCAGTAGATTGGGGATCCAGTGATCCTGGTAACTGAATGTCTAAATCAGAACTTTATTTCTTATCAGTGAAATCTAACCCAGAGTCTTTCTTACTTAAGAGTCTCTTTGAGCACCACACATCAACATCTGTATTTATTTCTATATCTGTGCAGATAGATGTCTATCTATTTATGCATATTGAAAACCATGCACTCATCTAAGTATCTCCAGTTCCTTCCAGCACTGCAGGGGCCTTCTGGTTCTCTCTTTCCATATTTGTAACTCCCTTCTCTGACTCCTAGAAATCTGGCTCTCATTATCCCCAATATCTTTACTTATTTGATCAACCATCTTATACTAATCAAACTTCTGTTGTTCCCTTTCCCCCATATTGCACAGAGGCCTTCCCCACCCCTCCTCATCCCTGCTCAGACTGACTCCCCACATTGTGTTGCCATTACTGTTGCCCTGCACCCTCCTGGCACAGATGCCCTCCTCATACTTCTTGGGTTCTAGTGCTGGGGTGATGCTACCATTACCATCATTCTACCCACAACTTCTGTACCCTTCTCTGCTTGCCCAGGCTCTTACACTCTCCTCTGGGCTGCTCAGATGCCCTCCTAACCCTGCTTGGTCTCCATCATCCCCATTACCCTTCCCCCAGCACAGAAGCCTTCCTTTCCTTTCTGGGGCTCTGATACCCTGCACCAGGCTACCTTACTATTCTTCTCTTCAGCAGAAGCTCCCACCCCACTAGGGCTTGAACATTCCACATGTGCCATCTACCTCCCCACCCCACATGCAGAAATACCCTCTGGGACTCCAATACTCTGTGTACTTCTGCCTGGACATCCTCTTCACCCCTCTTGGATGCCCACCTGTTTATTCTTTTTCTGGAGAGGGTAGAACACTAGTTTTGTGCTATCACCTCTACTTAAAGAGAAAGGCTCCAGAAACATCCATGAGATCCATCAGAAAACCAAGGCCTTATAGTTTGGAAAGACCTTTAGAGACCATTTAGCTCTTAACTTGAAGCATGACTTTTCACTGTAACTTTTTAATGAAAAGGTTTCTGATTTATATTGAAAAATCACCACCTCACAAAAAGTCCATTTCATTTCAAATAACTTTAATTATTAAGGAAGTTTCCCTGCTTGCCTTGTGGATTTCACTGTAAATTATTCTCTTGTTTAAACAGGTAAGTTTGATATAGAAATATTTTGAGCAGAGATGGTGTTTACTTTGAGATGAGCTGTGGGTACTCCCTATATCTGATCTTGCCATCACAAAGTCATCCTCAGAAAATTAATACTTTTACAAAGGAAAAATTACTGAGGCTCAGGGCTGAGCGTAGAGCTCAAAAGCCTGTTTCAGTGTCTAGAAAGAATATTGTTTGCTGTAAATGTTCAACATATTGCTCAATAAATTGTAATTTAGGAGGAAATTGGCCAGGAAAAAGGAATGAGTCTATACAGCTGATCCAAACCATCTCCTTGCTGGGTTGCTGCTGTAGATCCTTCCTATCTCCACTGACCTTCACCCTGTCCTCTGGCTCTCACCTACTTCGCGGAGCAGCTCTATTAAGTAGAACCTTCTACAGTAAGGACATGGTCTGCATTTGTGCCTGACAGCCCCCAGCCACATGTTGCTATTGAGCACCAGAACCATGGGCCTAGGGTGACTGATGATCTGAACTTTTTATTTTATTTACTTTTAATTAGTTTAATTTAAATGGCCTCAGGTAACTAATTGCTACTGGACAGTGAGGTTTAGGGAGTCTGCTGGTTCCTTTTTTTCTTAATTGTGATATAGGAAATGCCTTTTGCTCTTAGTTTGGTCGAATAAAGAATCTGTCCTGAGGTAAAGGCAGTCTGGCTGTGGGATAGGTTGCTCTTTTCTCTGGGGTTTATTTGGCTAGTCTAGCTGACTAGGCAGGTGTTCACCTTCACTCATTGCTTTATGATTTAAAGCTGAAGCTTAACACTCTGTAAAAGCAGATGACCTTCTCAGTTAGAGAATAATTACTGAATGAGATGCTCCCCAGCTAGAACTTCCAACCAAGTCTGATTAACTAAGGAAAAGTAACAATTACCATTCCTATCTCTTCAAATCCAAAAATAAAAATAAAAAATAGATGGGTTCACAAAGTCTAGGTTGCATGGTGGCGTTGCCTGTGAGAGACACATAGCTCTGATGTTTTCCCTGGCCGGTACCAGTGTGAGCTGGATTTCAGTGCATGCTGCTTTCAGGGCTGTGGAGTGTTTCATTTCTTCCTGGAACGTGCTCTCTGTGATTCTTCTCTTTGACACTGATTCTTTGTGGTCCCTCGGCCAAAACAGATTGAGTATCCCTTATTCAAAATGCTCAGGACCAGAAGTGTTTTTGACTCCTGATTTTTTTTTTTTTCCCAGATTTTGGAGTATTTGCATTATACTCTTGGTTGAACATTCAAAATCCAGAAATCTAAAATGTTGCAATGAGCATTTCTTCTGAGTGTTATGTTGGCATCCAGAAAGCTCTGGATTTTGGAGCATTTAGGATTTCAGATTTTCACATTTGATATGCTCAATGTGTATAGCCTGTATGTTCTGTACCCTCTCTGTCTTGTGGGAGTCTTGTCTTCCAGGAGGGAATTACTTCCCATCTGGTCTCTCCAAAATCTTCCCCTTGACTTCAGGCTTACCAACTTTGTGTTCCCGGTTCTGTCTCATGTGGAGATCTGCATGGCACTCCAGGAGTCCCCAAACTACGGCCCCATGCGGCCCCCTGAGGCCATTTATCCGGCCCCCCGCCGCACTTCAGGAAGGGGCACCTCTTTCATTGGTGGTGAGTGAGAGGACCACAGTATGTGGCGGCCCTCCAACGGTCTGAGGGACAGTGAAATGGCCCCCTGCGTAAAAAGTTTGGGGACGCCTGCACTAGACCCTTGGAGATCTTTCCTCCCTCTGTTTTCTTTTACACATCCTTACCATCCAGATGTTAAGACTGGAGATTCCATGCTTTGATGAAGATAGTTTTTTCTTCTTAATGTTTTCAACTACCAATTCAGTCTCCCTGCCGTTTATGTGGCCCTGGCGATGGGGACTTTCCCTGGAGCCTCTCCATTGCACAGGATGCTGTTCAACACCAGGAGCAGCCCTTTCCAGAGCCTTCAGTCACATGCTGGTGCTTCCCATTGAGTTTCCCTCTTTCCACATTTGAAGAATGCAGCCAGCTTCCAGTTCCTTTCAGACTAGGGACCCAGATAGAACTAAGAGAACATTTTGATGTTCCTTCCAAATAATCAGTTAGTTTTCTCTTTCTACACACACACACACACACACACACACACACACACACATGCACACGCACACACACACATTTATAGCATGCCCTCTCAGCTTCGCATATTATAAGCATTTCCTCACACTATTAAGAACTGTTCCCAAATAAGATTTGTTATGATTACCTAATATTTCAGTGTGTGAATGAATCATATCTTACTTTCTCACAATATATCACATTTTAAATATTTACTAATGCTACAGAGGATAATTTTTAAAAACCAGTAGATGTCAGGACTGGTAAGGAAATGCTTACTGCCATAAGATTAATATCAAAGTTTGTCTTACCTTGACTAACATACCAGCTGCGATTTTCTGATCATTTGTTTTTTTCCCTTGTAGTCCACGGCGATACTTCCTCCTGTCGTCTCAGGTGGGTCTCCATCCTGAGTACAGAGAGGACATAGAAGCCCTCCAGGTCAAACACGGAGAGTCAGTGTTAGTACTCGACAAATGCACCAACCTCTCAGAGGGCGTCCTTTCTGTCCGTAAGCGCTGCCACAAGCACCAGGTCTTCGATTACCCACAGGTGCTACAGGTGAGTGTCACTCATTACCTCTCGCAAGACTCAGTAGAGGTTGCTTTCGTGGGTTAAAATTGAGCCCAACAAACCCAAGTTGTTTTCTATATGCAACTAAAATTACCCTAGGGGAAGGAAACGTAGGATTGCTCTTTACTGGATGTGTAGACCTTCAGGTACTTGGAATGTCTGATGTATTGTGTTCGTGTAAAGCTGCTTGGCCTATGAGAGTTCATACTCCTTTCAGATATTCATTATACTTTAAAAACACAAATCTGATGGATTTGCAGAGAAGCCACTTGGACTAAGCAGGCAAATGTATCTTGCTTTTACCCCTGTATTCATAAGGCATTCCAGAGAAATTTTCTTCTTTAAGGTGGCAACTTGCATCCCTTGACCATACTGGCCTACAGAGCCACAGTGAACTTTCCCTCGGAGGGTAGGGTTTTGGGGTTGTTTTTATCATTTTGGTATTTGGTGTTCTTGCCACTTTTATGTTTGACATTCCAAGGGTAAGGGGGCTAGGGAATGAGAAATTGAGCTTTGTTCACTTAAATAGTTAAAATGGACACAGGTTAGTTCAAGGAGAAACATCAAGGAGCTAGTGTGATTTATTTATTTATTTATTTATTTATTTTTAATCTCTAGAGAGCTTACCCATACTGGGATTGTAAAAATACTTTCAAAAAGTGCTGCACTCCCTCTGGAATGTCTGGCTGATAACAGTGGTGATGTGGGCAGGAGTATTTATAGTAACCTTTGTCTAGACAGGAAAAATGGTTATCAGCACGTGCATCCACATCTGGATGCTGACTCTCGAGGTCAGGGGAGCCTTCCACCTGTACCTCTGGGCACCATGATGGCCTCACTTCCTCTGCTCCTGCTGCTTTTCTCATTTATCCCCAGAGATGCTTGAAATATCGAATTCCTTTATTGCTTTTTCTCAATTTTCCTTTTCTCTAGCTTTAAAGATTCGTTTTTTAAAAAAATCTTTTTTTCCCCCTTCTTAAGAGGCAAAAACTGGGAGAAACAGAGTGGTAGGTGGTTAGGGTCTCTGTATTTCGGGTTACCTATTGCAGCTATTTTTTCTGTGGTACATCTCTCCTTTTCCCAAGTATTCCCCGCACGTAGGGGGTTTGAGGGAGTGAATGAAGAAGAAATTTTTCATTAGATATATTTTTTTCTTTCTAGAACATATCAGTCTTAAAATCTTTTCAAAGGCATTGAATTCATGAAATGAATATCTTCTATATAAAAAGCACACTGTTAGATGCTATGGGGGGTAGAAAGATGAAAAGAGATTTGATACCTTCCCTTTAGGGGGTCTTCTAGAGAGCCTGAAATTCCCAGACAAAATAATTCCATTACAAGATAGGCTGAGGTAAGTACTGTGAGCGATGTCAGTGTGCCACAGTGTGTTTACATAGTACACTAGGGCCTAAAGAGACCCATCTGCAGGAAGTCACATTGTTCTCTGTCTAGGGGAAGACTTTGACATTGACTTTGAACATTTTCAGAATGTCAACAGTATACTGAAGAATAGAAATCTTAATATAAAACACTGTAACTATTGAAACTGTTCAAGTTTTACAGGTGTGAGCTGTTGTGTTTTGGCATTTTTGTGTCAAGATGCCTCAATGTTGCTTGGCACCAACCCTTGTAGGACCTTTGTGGTCTACAGGGATCAAAGTCAGCGGATCAGCAAAAGTCGTTTTTAATCTCCTACCTCTTTGTGTTCCTGCAGGAGGCTACTTTCTGTGTAGTCCTTCGTGGAGCTCGGCTGGGCCAGGCAGTATTGAGTGATGTGTTACAAGCTGGCTGTGTCCCAGTTGTCATTGCAGACTCCTATATTTTGCCTTTCTCTGAAGTTCTTGACTGGAAGAGGTGGGTAGTACTTTCTAATAAACTCTACACTAGCAGTTCTGTGTGAAGGACAAATAAAAAGTCCCTGAGGTTATTGTAATGTATACCCTGGTTCAAGAACTACTACTTCAGATAGTTTTTCTCTATTTTCCATCAGGAGAGTTAGCACATTGGCCTAGAGCAGTTCACAAACTGAGGCCAGCTTGCAGGCTGGCTGTTTTTGTAAGTCAAGTTTTATTGAAACACAGCCATGTCCCTTCCTTTATGTATAGTCTGGCTGTTGTTGTGTCACATCCGCAGAGTTAAGTAATTGCAACAGAAATTGGATGACATATAGGGCTTAAAATATCACTATCTGGCCTTTTGTCACGGGGGTCTCCAACTCCTGGGCTGTGGCCTGTTTGGAGCTGCACAGCAGAAGGTGACTAGTGGGCCAGCGAGCATTACCACCTGAGCTTCGCCTCCTGTCAGATCAGTGGTGGCATTAAATTATCATAGGAGCCTGGACCCTACTGTGAACTGTGCATAGGAGGGATCTAGGTTGCGCATTCCTTATGAGACTCCAACTAATGCCTGAAGATGGGAGGTGGAACAATCTCATCCCCAAACCATTCCCTGCCAAACCCAGTCTGTGGGAAAATCGTCTCCACGAAACGGGTCCCTGGTGCCAAAAAGGTTGGGGACTGCTGCTTTTCAGAAAATGGTTGCCAACTGCTAGCCTAGGCCAGTGTTCAACTCTGGCTGCAGAGTAGACTCCCCAAGAGGGCTTAAAAAAAATGCCTTGCCTAATTCTTGGGGATTCTGAATGTTAAAGCTCCCAGGCAATTTTGATTTGTAGTCACAGTTGAGAACCACGGGTCTAGAGTCTCTGTCGAATATAGCTGGTGGTGGAGAGCCTCCATGTAGATGAAAGCGTAGAGATAGTCCCAGTGTACAGATGGACCCAATTCCATTCTGCTGGGTGTTTGCCATTTATATTGTAAGAAACAAAATAGCCCTCTATTCTCATGCTTTGTTTTCCCAAGATTTTGAAGGTTGAAGGTTGCTGAAAATTCATTCCATTAATATCTATCTCTCAGTCTTTTCCTTGCCTCAAATGCATACTGGTTTTTTTTTCCTCTTCCAACTTTTTTGATATTTCTGTCTAAATCTGATCACCATAGGTATTTGAACAACTTGAATAGCTCTAATTCATTCATCCATCCATCCATCTACCCACCCACCCATCCATCCATCCATCCACCCACCCACCCCCCAACCCATCCATCTATCCATCCACTCATCCATCCATACATCCACCCATCCATCCATCCATCCATCCATCCATTCATCTCATATTGATTGGCAAGCCTCCTGTGAATAACACAGAGCCTCTCTTTTCAAGGAGGCTAGAATCTAGTGAGAGATGACAAACCGATGATAATGTTTTGTGGTAAATGTCATAGCAGATGTATGCACAGCCTAGTTGGCAGAAGTGAGGTTTAGAGTTTAATCATTAATTTATACAAATGTAATTACAAACTGCTAAATGTCATGAAGGAAAAGTGACTGTCGAATCCTCTCTTTCTCTTACCCACCACATCTAATCTGTTGGCAAACCCTGTGGGCTCTACCCTCTCAGCTCTGCCATCAAGTCCTCCCTCATCGCATCCCTTGCCTGGCCTTTGCAGTGTTCTCCAGCTGTCTCTCTGCTCCTGATCTTGCTTTCCTGTGGTTTATTCTCACCCTTTAGATGGAATGGTCCTGTTGGAACATGATCAGGTTATATCATGCTTTTGCCCAAAACCCTCTAATGGCTTTCCATCTCAGAAAAAAGGCACATGTCTTTCAGTGGCCTACTTGGTCCTGTACTCTTTGCTGTGACTCTGTTCTTCTTTTCTGGTGTTATTCTCTCTCTTATTTACTCTGCTCCAGCCACAGTGGCCTTTTTGCTGTTCCTGGCACTTGCCCACCATGCTACTTCTTCAGGGCGGTTTGCTTGTTTAGAGTCTTTCCTGGAATGCTTTTCCCGCAGGCATTCTCCTGGCCTGCTTACTCTCTTGCCTGCCTTGACTGATTAATTCACTGTTGGGTGTGCACATAATAGGGCTTCCCTAAACATATGCCAGATAAGTGGATAGATTTGAATTGATAGCAAAAGGAGAAAAGTACTTGTTAATTTAGAAGGGAATCAAGAAGCATGTACAAGGTGGGTGGGATTTTTCTGCGGTAGGGCAGAGCATGGTGTGTTCAAGCGACTGGAAGAACACCAGTGTGGCTAGAGCACACTAGTGGAGTGAGGCAGGATGAAAGATGAGTGAAGAAGGGAGTGCGACGTAAAAAACAAAATGGAGCTGGTAAAGAACTCCTTTGAGAAGCCAATGAGAAAGGGAGGAGAAAGAGAATACTTACTGGAAGGGATGTGGGGCTGAAGGAGATTTCGAGTCTTCTTTCTGCTTGTGAGAATGAAACAAGACTGTGTGTAGAAATGCTTTCTGTGAAGGGCTGTGTGTATGTAAACTGTTTTGCTGTTGTCTCCAGAGCATCTGTGGTTGTACCAGAAGAAAAGATGTCAGATGTGTACAGTATTTTGCAGAGCATCCCCCAAAGACAGATTGAAGAAATGCAGAGACAGGTAAGACGCCAAGTCCAAGCAGCCCTCCTGGGGAGGTGACGTGGGTGGTACTGAAATGGTGGCCTTGACTGTTTGGATACAGAGGGACAGGAGCTGAGTGCCTGAGTGGGGCTAACTTCCCCCACTAGGTCAACTAAGCAAACTTAAACGATAGGAAATTCATGTTAGGTGAGTTGTGTCAAATAAGGTTTGAAATAATAACTCTCAGAGAATTCTGCAGAGGTAAGCCTACTGCAATTTTAAGGCCTTAGTATAGCAGATGCAAAGCTGAAGCTCTTTGGAGGTTTGTAGTTACAGCAGGTGATAGTCATAGTGACTAAGACAGCCACGGAGGCCAGACCATTTCAGAGCAGTACCTCTGTATAGTTATTGACCATGAGACTATTGCTGCAGAAACTAGCCCAGTTTCCCAGTTCAGACAACCTTTGTAATTAGGGAGTCCTCCCTTCTCTTTTGGAACATTTGTCATTTTCCTGACTCTCTTTCCAAATTTCTCTTCTACCTTCTGACGACCCCATTCCCTGAGCTGCTCTCTGACTGTTTAATACCCCACTGGGTGTCCCGCTTAGTCCTGCTTTCCTTTCTTTCTCCCAAAGTACATTTAATTGGGTTTAAATATCAAGCAAGGTGAAAATGTTAAGAAGACTATGCCCAAAATTTTTAATGGACTTTTAAAAAGGTTTAATCTTTGTCAAAGATCACCTGTGTGGGAGATGAGCAGGCAAAGAGGCTTGGCAGATTCTCAGCATTAAGTGGGTAACTGTCCAATGCAACCGCCTGCTGTCAGTTCAAATGCCCACCCTCAGGCAGAGAGCCTGCGTTTGGCCTTGTCCTAGGAATCAGCCACAGGCTTCTGTCTGGATGCGGGCAGTGCAGCTGTCTGGTTGTGTGGGAAGGGGATCTGGGGTTCTAACTGTTTCTTAAAGTTTCACTCTGTCCTCCTGCTTGAATCTCACTCTTTTGTGCAGTGTGACTCAAGTTTTTCTCAGCTGATTTAGGATGTAGCTCTCTTGAGTCTATAGCGTCAGTTAGCACTTCTTCCTCTACTTTTCAGCTTCCACATGTTGATGCTGTTATCTTGTCTCTCATTCTCTTTATCTTAGGGTATGCATACCTTAATTTAGGAAATGCCCCTTGTCATTTTAGGGTTTTAGGAGAGAGTGAAATTAGTGGCTGTGTGCAGCCCACCCTCTTTATTATGACAGGGAACCTCTTATCAGACACAGATTAAGTCTGTAGGTTCTTGCCTCAGATTGCTTGGCTTGGGTGTCAGCTCTGTGGGTTACAAACTCTGTGCCCTTCATTAAGGATCTGCCTTCTCTGAGCTCAGTGACCTCATCTGTACATTTTGGTATCCTGGTTTGAATAGAAGTCACAGGTTAGTTATAGCTTCCCTGCAGTTTCTTTATAATATCCTCATGTTCGTTTTAAGTTTCTGGGTTTCCCAGTTGTTATTTAACTGCTGATTTCATCTGAGTTTTTGTGAATCAGAAAATCAGTTTAGAGATCTCTAGATTTTTTAATCTAAACCTGTGGTTCCTAAAACTTGTACAGAAGAAAATGCTCCTTGAGGAGTCATAGTGTTTGTGTACTTTGTGTTACCTTTTTTCCCTCCCTGAGACAGAGTCTCACTCTGTAGCCCAGGCTGGAATGCAGTGGCATGATCTCAGTTCACTGCAACCTCTGCCACCAGAGTTTGAGCAGTTCTCCTGCCTCAGCCTCCCGAGTAGCTGGCGTGCACCACCATGCCTGGCTAAGTTTTGTATGTTTAGTAGAGACGGGATTTCACCATTTTGGCCAGGCTGGTAGAACTCCTGACTCCAAGTGATCTGCCCACCTTGACCTCCCAAAATACTGGGATTATAGGCATGAGCCACCATACCTGGCCTGCTTCGTGTTACTTTTCATGGCATCTTGATGTACTAATAAAACTAAATATAGAATTATGTGCTAAAGCAGAGACCATTTTATACCAGAATCTAGTCTACAAAAGTTAAGAAAAAACTGAGGTTAAATAAGCAAATTCTATCTAGTCACTGTCTCCACCCCTCCACCCTGACGCTGGGAAAGAGAATCATTTGGTTTTTGGAGCAGCATATACTGCCAGCTCACGGAGTACTGTTGCCCGTGGGAGGGTGGTGTGAGAACTGCAGGTCTGGGATAAGCTTAGTCATTTTCAGTGGTGGCTCAGAATCGTAGAACAGTTGAGATGGAATGAATGCCGGTCATTTAAAACAGTGTACTTTTGAGTTATTTGAGTTTGAAGAGACACACTTACAGTCAAAAGACTTGGGTTTGATCCCTGCCTCTGTCCCTTTCAACTGCATGACCATGATGGGTCCCCAGAGCTCCCTAGGCTTCCATTTCCTCATTTATGAAATGAAGGGGTTGGCTAAATCATCTGTCATGTTCCATGTGGCTGTTAAAAAACTCTATGAAATGCTTGTCCCTACCAAGAATATTACTCTCCTTGACAACATTAATAATTGAGTGGTCATCTCCTCTCCCTTTGAACAGCTCTAGTCACAAGGGCCACTTGCCTCCTCTGGTGGTGAACAGTCCGCTATGCCAGCTTACAAAAGAAAGGTGGGCTTGGCACTTTCCTGACCCCCTTTCTAACTCTTTTCTGCTTTCTGATGGCCTCTTTCCCTGTGCTGCTTTCAGGCTGTCTAAAGCTCTGCTGTGGCGCCTCGCTAGTCCTGCTCCCCTTTCTCTGAGTGATTCATACTCCAAAAATGACCTCTTTTCTTCTCCCAGCCCCAGATTTCTAGAGTGGGCTGATCTCAAGTAGATGAGAGATTATCTGGTTAAAGTGATTTCCAGTTAGGTATAAAGGATGACTAGGTTTGTTCAACTACTACTGGATTCCAGTAGCACCCCTCCCCCCAGTTGTGATCACCAAAAATGTCTCTAAACATTGCTTACCGATTGTCCCTTTTGGGACTGGGGGTGGAGAACAGGCAAAATTGCTTGGATTGAGAACCACTGTTCTCTATAGATTGTTAAATATCTCATCTCTCTAAAATTAGAGTTCTTTGGTTCTATAACAAAATATACTATTTCCAAGATATTCTTGTCATTTTGCTTTCTGTTTACCTTCTATCGATTTAACCTGACCTTGGCAGGAGTAACAAATAAAAAAAAAAGGAAAAAAGGTAAAACACCTGATTCTGCAAAGTTCCTATGCCTTAGTGAATTCTCTTTAGGAAGGTCAGATGTGGGTCTTTTTGCAAGACAGGCATCCACTTTTAGGGGAAAGCCTGTTGTATCAGTAGTTGATATATTAGAGCCTCTAGATAACGTGTCAGAATGAACTGAGAGTGAGGAGCAGAGGGTCTGATTTGCTTGCAGAGAAACTCCCAACTAGCTTAACTGAGCTGCATTGGACAGTTATAACCAGCAGAGGTCTCCATCCACTTTTAATTAACTCATTTTCCCTCTGAGTATTTAAATCTTTCCAAGAAATCCTAAATGCCGTGAGCCACTCTGATGCTTCACACTGACATCTTCCTGATAACTGCTCTCTAGAGACCATTTCTTTCAGATGAAGAAGAAATAGTGGTTGGCACAGGATTTAAGTCTCCCTAGATGTGATAGAGCTAAAGTTTCTGATTTGGCCCCAGAAATGTGGGGGTAGGAGCTTGGTGAGGAAGGTATTAGAGCAACATTTTGCAGTTTAGAATTTAGAGTCAAAAAGGCTACAATCTGACAGATGTCTGCAGTGGTGAAAGTCCTTGTTGTGACTTGGGAATTTGTTTGTACCAAGGGAGAAAGTCATTCTGCCTGACAAGGAAAGGAACTTAGATTCCCCTCTCGACCTAAGATGTGATAGTAGCAGCCAAAAAGTTAACTATAAGGCTAGAGCCTAATGTAAGTAACAGCTATAGTTAGACTAAGACTTTTGAGGAAAAGTACAACCTGTGTCTCTGGTATCTATTCCTGAAGGCCACCAATGAGTGGTGCTGCCACACGTGGCATTGGACAGACTACTGGGGGCTTACGGGGCTTTTTGTGGGGAAGTTAAAAAACAGTTTCTTAAGTTAGTAGAAGATAGTAGTTGTAACAGTATAAAGCTGACTTATCAGTTGGCCTTTTATTGTCCTATGAGCTAACAATTAACTAGTTAGTTAATTTATTGAATCCCTAATTTTTTTTTCAGGGAGAGATTATAGGAGATAATAAAAAATCTGTGATCCCCATTCACAAATGGCTAATAGTAGTGTTGGGGATATATGGGTAGAAGCATAAAGACAGTTGGGAAGAGGATGTCAATTTTTCTGTGTACATTAGGGGTCTGAAATAGAAGAGAAAAAGTTGGGGCTAAAGTTGTCAGGATGGATTTATTGGAGCGGTAGAATTTGAGGTAGGCCTTGAGATGGGAGTTCCATCAGCCATCTGCCTTATGTTGGAAGGCAGGCAGAAGTATGCAGCTAAATATTTTTCTGTAGTCAAATGAAACATTCATATCTCCAGTCTCCCCTGAATCACAAAGAAAAAGTACACAAGCTAGGGTCTTGGAAGGCTGGATAGACACTAGACTGTATCGTTAGAAATGTTTGTGTGGATAGGGAGGAAGGTGTAAATGGATCCCCAGTTTATCTGTTGAGTAGAATTTCCAAACATTCTTTTATTGGTCAGTGGCTCCACCAGCAGTGACCTCTAACCTCAACCACACTAGGAGGTGGAAGTCAGGAGCCTGCCTTGCCTTTGAACTCTTCTTTGTACTCAATTGACTAGAAGCCTTTGAGGTGGCAGAAACATTCAGCATCTTCTTTTCTCTCTAGCCTTTAACACTTGGGGTACATTCAAATACCAGTTTCTTTTCAGTTTGTTACACGGATCCATCTCAATGTGCCTTCATATTTTTCTATTAAGCATAACTAAATATTGGTGCTGCAGAGAAGCACTGAAGATGTAGTGGGCTGATTAGGAAAAAGTCAAAACACTTTCATTTAAGAAAATAAAACCTCTGGACTATAGTTGGGCCTAGTTCTGATCAA